AACGAAAAGGGTTCCTTCTCCAGCGCCCCGACTGTAGGGGAGGCAAGCGCTCGCGGAGGGCCTCGGGCGCTCTCGGAGGTCTCGCGGAGGTCCCTCGGAGGTCTCTGCATGCCTCTCGGAGGTCCTTCGGAGGCTCCGGGTCACGCTCGAACTTCGAGGTTCAAGGTCCTTCGGAGGTCTCTCGAGAGGCCTCGCAGGGTCTTCCAGTGTTCTCCCCGGCGTCCTCGGCGGCTCCAGGTCGAGTCTGAGGCCAAGTTTCGAGGATCACGGTTCTTGCCGGACAGGCCCCCAGGAGGCCTCGATCCTCGAGCCCCGACACCAGAACCTCGAGTGGCTCGAGTTGCCCTGGGGGGGCAGAAGAACAAGACACATAGCACAAGCATTAACTTTCGAAGCTCTGGGCGGATTCCTTGGGTCGGCGCTGGACCCCACTCGCTGGCGGCAGCGCCTCCGGCGCCGCCCACTGCCCGGCGCGCCTCGTCCGCCCGGCGACGGGGGCGTCCAGCGCCGACCCGAGAACTCTGCGCGGACCTCCGAAAGTGCCACGTGTGTGTGTGTGTGTGTGTGCTGTGCATGTTGCACCTGACACCCTGGCCTTCAGCAGACAGCTCAGCCAGCTTCCCATCAGCTGCAGCCCCGCCGACAGCTGCTTCTGAGTGCTGGCCCGTGCCCCAGACCTCCCCTTCGGCGACTGCGTGACCGCGTCCGCCCGCGACCAAAAAGTGTGTGTGTGTGTGTGTGTGTGCTGTCGTATGCCGGGGGGCCCGCCCCCCCGAGCGGCCCTCGCCCCGCTCTCTCCCCCCCCCCCCTCGGCCGCCCGCCCTCCCCCCTCTCTCTCCCTCTCTCGCGCCCCGTGGCACCACTCGCTGCCACGGTGCTCCCCGTGTCGTCGGCTCCTCCGCCGGCGCAGCTCGTCGCTGCCTGGCCGCCGACGCAAGGCGTGTGTCTTGCCGCCTGCCGTCCTCGTCTGCTGCGGTCGGGGCCGACCGCAGAGGACACCCCTGAGAGGGCACACAACGCCCTGCCAGGGGCAGCCACCACGCCCCGGACACGAGGACACAGGGGCACCCTTGATTCTGCAGGGTCGGCCTGCAACCCGAGACACAGGGGCACCCTTGATTCTGCAGGGTCGGCCTGCAACCCGTATGACGAGGATGCGCGGTGAGGATGCAAGGGCCTTGGAGGGCCATGTTGACGTTTTTCGAACGAGGCTGGCCAGCGAAAGTCGCTAAGCGACGGGGCAAGGATGCAAAGGTAGCCTTGGAAAGTCGCTCATCCTTACTATGCGGGTTGACTGTAGTATATTCCAGCTGTGCGCCGTTTTCTCCCCAACGAAGGGGGGGAGGAAGCGGAGGGGAGGGGGAGTACGCTCCAAACGCCCCCAAAATCATTGAGCTGCCTTTCCGCGGGTGCCCCGTGGAATTTCCCTACATGTTTCGTGGGGTTCCGGTTCTCTTCCCTGCCGCGTCGCACCTGCGTCTCACACACCTCCCTGCCTCCCTTCCTCGCCCTTACTTACCTCTCCTCGTCACTCCTATTCCACGCTCGACATACATAGAACACATCTGCACACACATACACACCTCCTTGGGGTGCGTGGCAGGCGCGGCACTTCCTCGACACCAGAGGGGGTGCGCTGGAGGTGGCAGTTGCTTGACACCTGAAGGGGTGCGCTGGAGGTGGGGGCGCTATCCGTCGTACGCTCGCAAAGCGTGGCAGGCGTGGCAGTTTCTCGACGCCACACGGGGTGCGCTGGAGGTGGGGGCGCTATCCTTTGTACGCTCGCATGTGGCAGACGTGGCAACTTCTCGACACCAGAAAAGGGGGTGCGCTGGAGGTGGGGGCGCTATCCGTGGTACGCTCGCAAAGCGTGGCAGGCGTGGCAGTTTCTCGACGCCGCAGGGGGTGCGCTGGAGGTGGGGGCGTTACCCTTTGTACGCTCGCAAAGCGTGGCAGGCGTGGCAATTTCACGACACCAGAAAAAAAGGGGGTGCGCTGGAGGTGGGGGCGCTATCCGTCGTACGCTCGCAATGCGCGGCAGGCGTGGCAGTTTCTCGACATCCCAAGGGGGTGCGCTGGAGGTGGGGGCGCTATCCGTCGTACGCTCGCAATGCGTGGTTGGCGTGGCAATGTCTCGACACCACTGGGGGTGCGCTGGAGGTGGGGCGCTATCCCTTGTACGCTCGCAAAGCATGGCTGGCGTAGCAGTTTCTCGACACCAGATCAAGGGGTGCGGTGGAGGTGGGGGGGCTATCCGTCGTACGCTCGCAATGCGTGGCACGCGTAGCACCTTCTTCACACCAGAAGGGGTGCGCTGGAGGTGGGGGCGCTATCCGTCGTACGCTCGCACAGCGTGGCAGACGTTGTATTTTCTGGACACCAGAGTGGGGTGCGCGGCCTCTATGCGTGCCATGGTTGCAAATCGTGGCAGGCGTGGCAGTTCCTCGACACCTGATTGAGTGCGCAGGGGGTGGTTTCTTTGTCAGCGCGGCCTCTATGCGTGACAGGGTCGGAGAGCGTGGCACGCGTGGCAGGTCCTCGGTACATGATTGGGTGCGCGGGGGGGGGTCTCTCAGCGCGGCCTCTACCCGTGCCAGGGTCGGACAACGCGGCAGGCGTAACACTTCCCCGACATCAGAGAGGGTGTGCGCAGGGGGTGGTCTCTCTCAACGTGACCCCTATGCGTGCCAGGGTCGGAGAGCGTGGCAGACGTGGCACTTTCTCGACACCAGAGAAGGTACGCTGGGGGTGTTCTCTCAGCGAGGCCCCTATGCGTGCCAGGGTCGGAGAGCGCGACAGGCGTGGCAGTTTCTCGACAACAAAAGGGGTGCGCAAAGGGTGGCCTTTCAGCGCGGCCTCTATGCGTGCCAAGGTCGGAGAGCGTGGCAAGCGTGGCCGTTTCTCGACGCCGGAGGGGGGTTCGCAGGGGGTGGTCTCCCACCGCGGCCCTCTGCATGCCAGGGTCGGAGGGCGTGGCAGGCGTGGCACTTTCTCGACACCAGAGGGGGTGGGCAGGGGGTGGTCTCTCAGCGAGGCCCCTATGCGTGCCAAGGCCTGGGGGCGTGGCACGCGTGGCACTTTCTCGACACCTGAGTGGGGTGCGCAAGGGGGTGGTCTCTCAGCGCGGCCCCTATGCGTGCCAGGGTCGGGGTGGGTGGCAGGCGTGGCACTTTCTCGGCACCAAAGGGGGTGCGCAAAGGCTGGTCCCTCGCCGCGGTGTCTATACGTTCCAGTCGTCCATGCACAGCAGGCGTGCCACTTCCTGGACACCGTACGGGATGCGCAGGGGGTGGTCCCTCACCGCGGCGTGCGCCGTCCGCCTGCCCACCGCGTCGAGACTCGTGCGCCGTCCGCCTGCCTACCTACATCCCCGCTCTCTTCCGTGGTCGCCATGGCTCAGGCTGTTGTTCGCACGGCGTATCGGTCTCCCAGGGCTTGGCCAGCGCCACCAACGGTATCGGCGAAGCAGCGGCCACCAGCAACATTCTCGCAAGCTTCACGTCAGCTATCATCACGCCAGGCAAAGGATGAGTATGTGGTGTTCTTCGGTAGCGTAATTGTTGTTGCTCCCCTGCTGCCCTGGGCCCCAATGGGAGTTTTGGGGCACGCCGCGAAGGCCAATGAAGATCGAACGAGCAATTCTGGGACTGCTCTGTCGCCGCGCCAATTGTTCCGACGCGCGGCCCTTCGCCCTGGGGAGGGCGCCTCGGCCACCAAGGTAAACTCCGCCTCGGGCGCAAGGTCGGGGGATGCTATCGTTGCAGTGGCGTGGACACTTGGCTGCCGTAACATAACAGGGCATACATGCACTATATCTTCTTTACACATGCGTAAGTGTATATATATGTATGCAAGTTTTTATTCGTGCGCATAACAATACCTACCGCGAGCCACAGCGTGGACCCGTTAGACAGATCTTTCTAAATCATAGTTAGCAGACCACACGCAACGTCAACATACTTGCATAGTATCGAATGCATATCAACGGCGCAATGGCAATACTCACGCACCATACTGGCATATAACATCAAATTGCTCGGCATAGCATAGCGCAGCAGAGCACGAACACCCATAGCGAACCATACCACAATGCCCCAGAACATCAAGGATGACCAAAGCCCAGAAAATCAGGAGAGCCCTTCGGAATCCCCCCAGAAACTGGTGCGACTGGGATTTTGGGGCGCATCTGCGACTGGGTCTCTGGCGCAAAATTATCAAAAGCCCCATCCAAGCAAAATCTAAGTCGGGGAGGAAGCTGACAAATATCGCGAAAGACGGCGAAGATAAAGAAAGACCCGTTCCCAGCCCCGGGAGGGCTCGGAAAGTCGGTCCGCGTTCGCCCTCTGAAGCCCCTCCTGGGTCGTTTGCTGGAACCTTTCTGGGCCGTTTTGCAAACTTTCTGGATTGTCTTGGAGCCTGCGTGAGCCGTCGTGGAGGGCCTCTAGGGCCGTCTTGGAGCGATCCTGAAGACTTCGGGGCTTCGAGGCAAAGCCAGCTGGCCCGAATACGGAAACAGCGCACACCAGCGCAAAAATCCTTAAATCAATCCCATCTGCTCCTCCATATTCTCGACCCTCGACCCGAAAGCTCCTCGGAATCTGGCTCATTGTCGGGTCATGCCCAGGCCCCCTGCGGCAGGCCGTGATGGACGATCGGGGCAGCCCCGGAAAGCTTTCGGCGAGGCGCAGCTGCCGGAGAGCCTCCCGATGCTGAGAGGCCGCCGAGGGCCCATGAGCACGACCGGAAGCTTCGGGTCCGAGCCAGACGGGGATGCCCCGGGGGACGCCGCCGAGAACCTGCGAAGACTTTCGACAACGTTGTGGCAGCAATGGGGTTCCTCTCTGCGGTGGTCAGGAGCGTCTGCTCAGCGTGTCGCGACGAAGGCCCTGGCGACACGAAAGACGCTGCAAGCGGACAGCGTGACGTTGACGCCTACTGGCAAATGTTCAGCATGTCGCGCCGAGACGTGGAGGGCCGGAGCCTGCGGCCGGACACGCTGAGCCAAAGCTACCGACCTTCCAGCGAGGAGCGCCCGGGACCGTCCTGAGCCAGCGCATGCCGCGGGCGGCAACCTCGCGCCCTGGGGGAGGGGCGTCGGGGTGCGGGGCGCCGAGAAGCATCGCCCCGAGGTTGAACTGCGCCTTGCCGGCGGCGCCACGCTCCGGGGGTGCGGCCTCCTCCTCCTTCTCCTCCTCCTCGATCGGGGAGGAGAGGAAGGATGAGGAGGATGAGGAGGAGAAGGAAGGAGGAGGAGGAGGAGGAGGAGGAGGAGGGGGATGAGAAGGAGAAGGAGGAGAAGGATGATAATCGAAGAGAAGCAGCATGGAGGAGGATGAGAAGGAGGAGGAGGAGGAGGACGAGAAGGAGGAGGAGAAGGAGGAGGAGGAGGAGAGGGGGAGCAGGAGGAGGAGGAGGAGGAGGAGAAGGATGTAAGCATCAGGATCGAGGAGGAGAAGGAGTAGGAGGAGGAGGAGGGGGAGGAGGAGAGGAGAAGGGGAAGAGGAGGAGGAGTGCCAGTCGTACTATTCTCACACTATGGCCTGGAGGATCGAGGAGGACGTAGAGGAGGAGGAGGAGGAGGAGGAAGAGGAGGAGGGGGACCGAGGAGGAGGGGGAGCAAACGCTCAGATGAGGCAGAGGGGGGAAGGGGGGGATCGAGCGTACGGCAACTTCGTGTTGTGACGACGTCAACGTTATTTTCTGACACCGCGTGGATCGGTTAGCCTTGAACGATGGCGGCTTTCTGGTAACGCGGGTCGTTCAATCTTGAACGTCCGCGCTGGGGTCGCCGCCGGGTCGACACGGCGCGAACATGCCGCACCGCGGTACCCAGCCAGCGGGACACGGGCGGGGGCAGCATGCGCACGCAAAGTATCAGGCCGCTGGCTAAGTCTCTCCCGCAGGCCGCTTCCCCTGCTACCGCCGCTGCTTTCCAGGCCTCGTTTCCTTCCGCCTTGTGCCGATTCTCGACACTCGATCCTCGACCCTGGATCCTCGCAGAATCAGTCAGCATCGAATCGGAAAAATGGGTCGGATCGGAATGTGTGTTAGATCGAGCCGTATCGGCAGCAAGGCGGATCGGCCGCACCAAGATGCACAACGGCGCCACGCAAACATCTGGCCGAGATCGATATTGAATCGGATCGATCGGATCGAGAGATGCTACGTGGATCTGCCAATGCCAGGGATCGAGTATCGATTGCTTGAACATTCCTTGCCCCTCTCGTGCTTCCAGAGGTGCCTCGAGGAGAGGTCGGCGGTCCCCTTCTCCTGCAACTCTTCATGCTTCTCCTCCTACTCCGCCTCCAATTCGCCCTCCTCCTCCTAATCCCAAGCGCGCTCCCCCTCCTCCTCCTTCTCGTCCTTGTCCTCCTCCTCGTCGTCGTCCTCCTCCTCCTCTTTCTCTGCTCCTCTACGTACCTAATACTCCCCCACTCCTGGTCCAACTTCTGCCCCTCCTTCTCCTCCTCTTCCTCCTCCTCTTCTTGTTTTTGTCGATATACCGATCATCAATCTGCATGTTTTGTTATATGTGTGTATCTATAATTATCCCGGCAAAGCAACCTAACAGCGATGTAGAAACAGAGCTGGAAACATGGCCTTTGGTATTGATGTAAGAGTGCTGTTGTAGAATTCAGGTGTTCTCGCAGTCGCATTCGGTTTCGCAGTGGCAGTCGCAGTGGCAACATCAGTCGCAGTCGCAGTCGCACTGGCACTGCCAGTAGTTGCAGTGGCAAGAGCTACACTAGCAGCAGCAACAGCAGCAGCAGTAATAGTAACAGTAGTAATAGCAGTAGAAGTAGTAGTGATGGTAGTGGCGGTAACAGTGAAGTAGTAGTTGTAGTGGGTGGAGTGAACGAGTGGGAGTAATGGGAGCACTGGTAGTAACAGTAGAAACACTAGTAGCAAGAGTAGTACAAACGAGACACTGCTATCAATCAGCCCATCTTCGAACGAGACACTGCTATCAATGGGTGTACTTTCGAACGGCTCACGGCTTTCCTTAACTGTATCTCCAAATGAGATGTTTGTATCAACGCATTGAAGTCGAAGCGAGACACTGCTATTCATGGATGTAGGTCCAAACGAAACACTGCTATCAACCGATTGAGCCTCGAACGATAAATTTGCATCAATGGTTTTTAGCCCCAAAATTGATTTCAACGTATTCGGCTCGAAGCGAGAAACTGCTATCAATGGATGTAGGTCCAAACGAAACGCTGCTATCAACCGATTGAGTCTCAAACGACACATTTGCAGCAATGGTTTTTAACCCCAAAGTGGATTTCAATGTATTCAGGTCGAAACGAGACACTGCGATCAATGGATGCAGGCCCAAACGAGACACTGCTATCAACGGACGGGGTCTCAAACGATACATTTGCATCAATGGTTTTTGCTTCAAAATTGATTTCAATGTATTCAGGCCGAAGCGAGACACTGCTATCAATGGATGTAGGTCCAGACGAGACACTGCTATCAACCGATTGAGTCTCAAACGATGTGTTTGCGACGCTCGGCGCGCTCTCCCTAAGTCGCTGGCGTGTACCATCGTTGGCACAGCAACACCACTTCATGTAAGATGCAGGCGGAGGAGCCCCGCATCTCACGACGCACGGGTACACACGAGCGCAGGCCGAGAAACGCATGCGAGCGCAGGCTGAGAAGCACCAAGCGGACAGGCTGAGCAGCGCCGCCACGAAGCAGCCAGTGTCTCACGGTTCCTCAAGCTCGTGCAGGCCAGCCTAGCTCTTGTAGGGCTTTCGCGCAAACGATCTTCGTCGCGGCAATCTTGTCCGCGAAGAGCTCGGCGAAGGCCTCGGCGATCTGTTCCGGGGGGCCGGGTTCGATGATGCTCCGGTCAGGCAAGCCGTGGCTCAAGAGCTGGCCGAAGCTCCTGGGCCGCGACGGGCTGACGTAGTAGGCCAGCCAAATGGACTCCTTCTTGAGTCCTGGCGGAAACGCCCAGTGCACGATGAAGCCTGGGTCCGCCGTCTTGCCCTGCGCGCCATGCAGAGTGCCCTGCTTCTTGGGCAGCACGGTCAGCTGTGTCCTGGAGACCGCGATGGCCGGGCCACCCACCGCTGGTTTGAACTTCCGGGGTCGGGTTCGCGGGGTGATCGCGAGCACTCCGCGCAGGTCGGGGCCGGCAGGCTGAGAAGCGCTGCCAGCTGTCGCCGGCGCGGCTTTCAAGAGGAGCTCATCGCTGTCATCGATCTTGACATAGACGGCCTTTGGCATGTAGCGGAGTAGTACAATACCATTTGAGACAATGGACGGGTGGCCCTCCACCGGAGGCTCCAGAGCGTGCAGCTCTATGCCTACCACCTTGCCCGGCGCGCCACGGACATACTTAGGTGGCAAGACGGGCTCCGTCAGGATGACCTCCATGCCGACGAAGAGCGGCAGCAGCCCCGGCATTTTTACGGTAGCGCCGATGTTGAGCTCCGCGCGCATCTCGTCGAAATCAGGTTTCGCGAGGCGCGCAGCTGGTCTGTCGATTGCCGGCACGTAGAAGAGCAGCTGGCCAGCGTCGTGCGCGTCAAGCTTGGCCTGCGCATGCGTGGCGTAAGAGACGACGCGCCACTCATATGCCGACTCGTACCAGCCTCGTGCTGCACGCAACCGGTGATCCCACTGAGGTTGCTGGGCGGCTTCGCTGCTGGTGGCAGCAGGCTGACCAGCACCGCTGGGGCCAACGACCTCTGTTTTGACGATCGCCTGCCAGCTCTCGTCAGAGATCTTTTTGCCGCCTGGAGTCCTCATGGCGTGGAGGACCTCGAGCTGCAACGGGTCTGTAAAGCGCTGCATCTGCACGAAGTCGATGACGTACTCGAAGTCGGCGAGCAACTTCCGACCCTGTTGGTGCTCGTAGGACTGGCCCGCGCGAGGCGCCAGCAGGGAGGCGCTGGCGGGGGCCGGCGGCAACTGGTAGAAGTCCCCGCGCAGGATCTTCACCGCCATGCGCCCCCACGTCTCCTGCGGGCGCATGTACTTCGTGGGGTCGAGGTTGTAGCGCAACGCCCTGCCGTAGGTCGTGCGCAGTGCATCCGCATGGCCTCCTCCTCTGGCGAGAACTGATCCGCCTTCCGCGTTCTCCGGACTTTGTTGGCCAGCTGCCGCACTGCCGGGCTACACTTCGCGGTCTCCTTTGGCCAGCGGCCGAAATCCCGCGCCTCCTGCATGAGCTCCTCGATCCTCTATCTCTGCTTGGGGTCTGTTTGCTGCTGTGCTGTCTGCTTGGCGAGAGCTCCTGCTCCCCCTGCCGCAACAGGCTGAGAAGCACCGCTGCTTCCCGCAACAGTGTGAAAAACACCGATGCCTCCCGCGGGGGTCTTCCCTCGTAGGCGCCGAGCAGACGCGGCCGCAGCAGGCGCAGACGAGGCTCGGTCTTCCCTGGCAAGCTGAGAAGCGCCGGCCGCAGACGCGTGTCGGTCTTCCCTCGCTGGCTGAGAAGCACCGCGAGAAGCCAAGGCTGCGGACGAACCTCGGTCTTCCCTCGCAGACTGAGAAGCACCGCGAGAAGCCCAGGCTGCGGACGTGTGTCGCGGCGAGCCGATGGCCATTGCAATGCGGCCGGCGAGGTCCACCAGGGAGGCACGTTTTGAACCAAACGCGGCTATCAGAGGCAAAGGACAAGTAGGTTGCCAGTAAAAGGGCCCGGGAGCTTCCAACGACTCTCTGCCATCAGTGGATGAACCTCCGAACGAGACACTGCTGTGAGACCACAGGCGCCTGAAAATGACGATCTTGAGAGTGCTGCTTCGAGGAGGGAAAGAAAGAAGGAGAGAGAGATGGGATCGAGAGCTCCCGAAGGGGGGGTGTGCCCATCCGAGGGAACGGTGCGCCCCCCCCCTCCTCGCTACTGGCGACGAGGATCAAGCTGTTTAGGGAAAGAAGAAGACCCCCCCGCCCCCTATCCTCCCCCGCGGCCTGAGTGGACCACCCAGGCCTGCGGAGGACGTCATAAAGGGTCACCCCGTACAGAGATGAAGAGAGAAAGGGGAGGGAGGAAAGAATAAGGAGCCTCCCTCGTCCTGCTCCTCCTGCTCCTCCTGCTCCTCCTACTACTGCTACTACAAGTATCAGATTCTGGCGGAAACGTCCAATGCACGATGACGCCTGAGTCCGCCGTCTTGCCCTGCACGATGACGACACAAAACAAACCGCGAATCGGGTGGCGAGAAATCTGACGGAGACATCCAGTAAGCAAAATGTGGCCCGGGAGAACAGTTCTGGGAGCTCGAAGATGACGAAGTGGCTTACATCTGGCTCCGGACATCCAAAATGTGGCCCGGGAATGGAGTTCTGGGAACTCGAAGACCACGAAGTGGCCTACAGTTGGCTCCGGGCACCCAAAAAATGTGGTCCGGGAATGGGGTTCTGGAAACTTGAAGACCACGAAATGGCCTACAGTTGGCTCCGGGCATCGAAAATGTACGCCGGGAATGGAGTTTTGGGAACTCGAAGACCACGAAGTGGCCTACAGTTGGCTCCGGGCATCCAAAATGTACGCCGGGAATGGAATTCTGGGGACTCGAAGACCACGAAGTGGCCTACAGTTGGCTCCGGGCATCCAAAATGTACGCCGGGAATGGAATTCTAGCAGCGCCAAGAGCGATTTTGCAAGGATGTTCAAGTGATTTGGGCTTCGACGGCAGCCGCCCCAGGTCCCGCCCCAACCTCCTTGACGAGTCATGATGCTCTCTTTTGACCCTACTAGAAACCTATCAGTCTTCGCTGTTAGGTAAAACATGTCGTTCTATCGGTCCATACATCCCCCCTTATAAAACAAAGTGAATAGAGATACGGTTCCATGTATAAGTGTAGATGGGCCGCTATGCAAGCCTGTGTAGTTGAGAATTCATAACCACATGTGCACTTCTGTTTTACGATTATATATGTGTGTGTGTCGATCTACATGTAGGGATATACGTGCAAATCGAACAATGTAAATATACATGCGTATGGCGAAATAGCTGTACTAGGTATAGTAATCGCGTCACACCTACACGCACAAACACATACATGTACATATGTATAGCACCATGTGTCGTTATAATCATAAACAAATGTGTACACATGTATGTATGTATGCATGCATGTATGTATGTGTATGTATATGCAATGCTACCTCTCTACCGGCCCATCTATCGATCGATCTATCTACTGACTCTCTGACCGTCCCCGTACTAATCCAGGGGGCCCAAGAGGCTTGCAGGGTGTTTTTTGTTCGGAAGCAGTTGTGACCCAGCTAGGGGGCTGTTTTCGGGTCTCTTGGGGCCTTTTGGGGGCCTCTTGGGGAGCTGGGGCCTGTTGGGGGCCTCTGTGGGGGTCCTTGGTGCCTCTCGGGGGCCGTTTTGGGCCCCCCTTGGGCCGTCTTAGGCGCCTCTTGGGCCGTCTTGGGGCTCTCTTGGGCCGTCGTGAAGGCCTCTTGAGTGCCTCTTGGGCTGTCTTGGGGCGATCTGGTGGGCGTCTAGGGCCGTCTTGGAGCGTCGGGAAAGCGAGAAGTTGCCCATGCTGAAAATATTATTCGGCTTACCAAGGGGCTCCCTTGGGAGGCCTCTTGGGGTGTCTTGGGGCGAAAAGGGTGCCTCTGGGACTGTCTTGGAGCCGCCGTAGGCGGCTTGTAGCCCTCTTGGCCCAGCTCGGGGCCCTCTGGAAGCCATCGGGAGCCGCCTTGGGCCCTCCAGGCCCGCTCGGGACTTGAATCCTTGGACCTTCGTCTTCGGACCTCGAACCTCGAACTTCAATCCTCGATCCTCGAACCTCGATCCTCGAGCCCGGGTGGGCGGCACGAGAACCTTTGACGGGCGGGGTGCGCCTCGCACCCTCGCCCGACGACCACCGACGGCCCGACGACGACGACGAGCCCGACGACGGCCGAGGCCGACGATGACGTGCCCGATGATAAAAAGCCCGGCGCCGTCCAGCCGGACGACGGACCGACCAACGACGGGCGACGACGGGCGGCGGACGACGAAGGCCGACCGACCGACTGACCGATGACGGCACCCGGATGCCTCGGGCGGTCCCCTGCAACCTGGCCCGGGGAGGTCTCCAGAGGCCCCCTGGTGGGAGGCCTCGGGCAACCGGAGCCCCGACAAGCGCCGGAGGCTTCCAGACATCTCCATCCTCGGGCCTTCGAACCTGGAACCTCGAGCCTTCGAACCTCGGAAGGGCGACGACGACGAGCCTCGCACCCTCGAGCCTTCGCACCTTCGAGCCTTCGGAGGGGGACGGCGGCGGCGACCGCCGAGGCCTGGGCGATGCCCTGGCGGGCAGCCCGCAGCCACCAGCGGCGCGCGGAGCGGCGGTGGCCCCTCCGCATCTCCTGGGCGGGAGGCGCGCCGCCCCCCCCCCCCGACCAGTTGGGGGGCCCCGCGGCGGCGGTGGCGGCAGACCGTGCGGTGGCCTCGCACTCGCCAAGAGGCTTCCTCACCGCACGGTCCGCCCGCCGCACTGTGTGGGGGCCTCGGAGGCCCGAGTGGCCCGAGACGTCCAAGAAGATCCCTGGGGGTCCCCCAAGCGGTGCGGTGACAGACCGTGCGCTGGCCTCGAGCTCGCCAGAGGCCTCAAGCGCACAATCGGCATCGTTCGCCTCTGGCCTGTTTGGCATGTTTTCGGGGAGGATCCTCTGGAGGGCCCGTTTGCTTGTTTGTGTTTCCCCAGCCCCTCACTCAGGCAAGTGCACCACGGTCGGAGGCGTTTGCAAGGTCAATCAGCATCGAATCGTGAATTCGCATCGGGTGGGGACTTGCGTCGGATCGGCCCTCGGCACGGGATCGACATCGAATCGGATCCGATACTCCAGAATGCGCAACAGCGCCATGCAGGCATCCGGCCGCGCTGGGCCGTGAGAGCTTCGGAAACGAGTCGGATCGAGAGGCGCCGCCAAGAGACAGCCGCATCCGCAGCCGCTGGATCTGGACACATTCCCGCCCGCGGGGGCGGGCAGATCTTTGTAGCCTCCACTCGTCGAGGCCGAGGGGCGCGACTCCGGAGCGGCGGTCGTGGACACTGCTGTGCATCCTGGCGGCCGGCGAGCGGGCCAGGATCGATACCGAACCGGATCGATCGGACGGGCAGGGGGGGCCCGGGCCCGCGGAAGGCCTCGCAGGTCCTCGCGGGCTCCCGGCGGTCCTCGGGCGCTCCTCGGGAGGGCCCCTCCGGAGGGCTCCTCGGGCCCTCCATGTGGCCGTCGGAGCTCCTTGGCCGCTCGGGAGTCCCGGGAGGCGGCCGGAGGTTCGCGGAGGTCCTCGGCCGTTCCGGGAGGCCTCGGAGGTGCTCGGGATCCTGTCGGAGGTTCCCACCGGGCGTGCTCCGAGGCTCTCGGAGGGTCTCGGGCGCTCCCCAGAGGTCTTCGGAGGACTTCGGAGGCTGTCGAAGGTTCTCGGAGGTCCACTGGACGTCCTCGGATGGTCCCGGGCGCTCCTCAGGGAGGTATTCGGGCGTCCTCGAAGGGCCTTCGGAGGGTCCAAGGCTGAATGTGCTCTCAAAGGGGCGTGTGAGCGGTAGAGTCATCGCCCTACCATCGGGGAACGCTGAGTAAGGAACGCAACAGCTTTGCTGGCCACGGCGAGCCTCGGCCGCGAGTAAGGGACGACCCAAACAACAGAATCCCTCCTGAACCCAAAGTGGTCACTACTTCAGCGCCTTGACTGTGGCGCGCGTTTGGTCACGGTGGCTCATTCGGCTCCTGACGCCCGGGGCGCTGAGGGCCGCAAAGGGATCGAGTTGTATGGACGAAGACCATGTTTCAAACAAACGTGCAGAGATCTTGCTGTAAACCATACCTATTAGGCACATCAGCGATACTACATCGTCCTGAACGAAGCGTTAGCCAGAGCGGACCCCAGAGAGCGATGTCTTGCCATCTATGCGGTGCAGCCCATGTGATACAATCCAGAGCAATGCAACACAACACAACGCAACGCGATGCAATTCAAATCAAAGCAATGCAACGCAACGCATGCTTAACGATGCAGAACAGCAGCGCAATTGCATGCGACTGCAATGCAAATGCAATGCGATTGCACTGCAATGCGATTGCAAAATGCAGCGGAGGGGTGCAACAGGGCGGCGGTCACCGGCGGAAGCGGGGCAGCTGTCGGGGGGAACGAAAGGGGGGGGATAGCAAAGGGTAATGCGGGATGGCGATTAATAAAGAAATGGGCGAGAACGATTAAACAAATAGTTGTCTGCTATTTCTGCACAAGTTTCTGACTGGAGGAGAACGATTAAAAAATAGTTGTCCAGCCCACGGCCGGTTTTTTCTAATCGTCATCCCGGGCGCCGCCGCGTGAAAAGGACCCCCGGTCATTTATTAATCGGCATCCTCCATTAGGGTAGCATCAGCTTGCGCAGCTGATTTTCCCAGCGCCTCCATGGGCGCCGGGAGGCGCCCAGGGAGGAAATGGGCCCAGCGGCGAGGCCGACACCAGCTGCACGCAGCAGATTTCGTAACCCCCCCTTAGGGGGCCACATGCGAACCCTATCCCTACACCCCACGATTTCTGAGGGGGAGGGTGGGGTTCACTCCGTTCGGGAGCTCCCGAGCGAAGTGAACCCCACCTTCCCCCTCAGAAATCGTGGGGGGTAGGGGTAGGGTTCGCATTCGGTCCCCTACCCCATTCCCTATCCCCCCTGTTCGTTCGGCCCGAAGCTGGGGCCGCAAACGGCTCTTTCTTTTGCAAACGAATGCGGGGGCGGACGGAAACGGGGGCGCCGGGGCCGCGGACGGGCCCAGCTTCTTCGAAGAGAAAGTAGAACCTCTAGGTGCAAGCACAGATTGTAGAGTCCAGGGGCACATCCGTCGTTGACCCTGAACTTCGCAAGTCGCAGGGTGCATTGGTGGCCATGCGGGTCCACCGGGAGGTGCGAATTTCTCGTCGGGCACCCGTTGCCAGGCAAATTTGTCTTTTGGCGCGCCTACTATAGAGGCACGTTGTCCGATCGACCTTGGACCTTCCAAGATGCCCCCGAGAACTCCCGCTGGTGTCCGGGGACGTCAGGGATTGATGCATTTCCGTGGGGCACCTGCTAGCAAGCCATGTTCTGCTTTTCCTGATTACACAGTAACCCCGCATTGTACTTTCTCACGCTCCATGAATCATTCAGATGTTGTCGGAGGTTCTCCGATGACTTCGGATGCTCGCCGATGCTTTCGAAGGTTCTCGGGCAGTTCTCGGACATATTCGGACGCCTTCGGAGGTAATTGTTAGGTCCTCGGGGAAATTCAAAAAAACACCTCCTGGTCATAGGGCGCCGCGAACAAAACACCACGAGCTGCACGCTGTCGCCCGCGATTCCGATGTCCAGAGTCGCTTTCGGGCCCTACGACTGAAGCAGTGACTGCCCGAGGCGAATGGCCAGCCTCAAAGATTGGTCCACGTCGTGAAACAACATGCCGACGAAGACCGGGCACCCACCATCACCATGGGTGCTCCGACGCTTCTGGCTCCCAGATCCCGGCGGTCATACATGACCTCGCCCAGCCTGGCCTGGGGCTGGTATCCAGCAAGCTCCAGGCCGCAAGCTAGGCCTGCGAAGGCTTTGCATCTGTGGATAGGACGAGCAGGTTCATGATTTGATCAGCTCAAGATACGTCCCAATAATTCTGGATAGTCTAGCTGCCGTCGTTTCTGGACAACGTGCGGACCAACGGGGGATCTTGGAAACCTGGGAAATCGTGGGAATCTTGCAACGTAACATTATGACAACTTCTTGCTCCTCTGTGAGTGGATGCTTCCCCTGCACCGAACCTCCAGGCCCGAGTGGAGCTGCGCCGTGGAGGACCCAAAGAGAATGGACAGCTCATGTTTCTAAACGGCCACGGCAACTCCAATCTCGTGAAAAACGGGTTCCCCCTTGTGAGCGAACGGTCGGCTTTACATGGACCCGGCTCCCCGCTCCATCTTAAACGCCAACGGCTATAACAATCCAATTGTCGAAACCAATCACCAGTCTAACCTGTACAGTTACGCCACTGGTGCTCGGACTTAGACGCGGCGATGGGTCTGGTGCTTTGGACTGGGCTTGGAAGCGGCACTGGACGCAACCACGCTCCACCTTCCCAAACCCCATCCGACCACCGAATCGGTCGACGGTTCTGCAGTCGACGCTGCCGGCGACGCCCCGGTCCTCCAGGCCCCAGTTGAGCTGCGCCGTGGAGTGCCCCCCCGACGCCGCCCGCTTCAGCCAGCGCCAGGCCCTGCTCGCGCCGCGCCGCGAGCTGCCGAAGAGCAGCTGCCGCCCCAGCTGGTACTGCGCGTGCGCGACGCCGCGGCGCGCGTCGCGCCGCTTCCACGGCGTCTCCTCGCGGGAGCACGCGCTGGAGATGTGTTTTACTGGTGGCGCTGAGCTTGGTGATCGGGTGGATGGGGTGGGGTGGGGGGTTCACGAGCGGCGAACAGATATTGCCTCGCGGTCTCGACTCCAGGGCGCGATCCCGCGGATACGCGGTCGCACGGATACGGTTTGCGCGGATACTTGGGGGGGGGGGAAGGGCGGGCCCGATCATCCAGGTCATCGCTGGACGCTAGAAAAACAATATCCTGGCGTTGCTGCTGATCCACATGATGAGGCTGCGCCGAGTACCTGCGGGGCAGCGTTGTTGAGAAAGAAGAACCAATGGCATAAGCATCAACTACTGCATAACCATCAACTTATCCGCGCTGGAGCCCCCTGGCGCGGGCGCCGATCCAACACATCTGCGCGGAGTTCTGAAAGCAGATGCTTATAGGAGACCAGCTCAGGAGAGAAAACGTCGACCTGGAATCGGTGAAGCATCGCCTATACATCGGAGACAGCCCCCCGGGAGACAGCCCCCCGACAGCGAGTCCGCCCGCTCTTGAGCGGGGTCGGCCATCAGGCCCCCATGGGCGATCAGTGGGCGATGGGAGGCCGATGCATAGTAATGCAGCACCCCGGACCCCATCCCATCCGAACGTTGCCCCTGAGGGCCGCTTCGCACGTCGACAGCGTGCAGGAGGCTGTACGAATGGAACACCATGTCGCCCTGCCCGAGCATCACCAGCCGGCGCGAGGCCGGGGCGAAGCTCGCCTGCACGATCAGGCCGCCAGTGTAGTCCTCCTCGCGGTCCAGCGCCAGCACGGCGGTCGCCAAGGCGTACTCGTCAGTGTGGGCCGCGATGGCGGTGCGGGAGCTGCCCGCTCCGTAGCGGCGCAGCAGCGATGAAGTAGGGACGGAGCACTGTGGCCATGACCAAGACGTCGCGAGATCTTGTCGGCGCCGATCTTGGTGATGGCCCATGCCAGCCGTCGCCGATTTGCGAGGATGATCCCCGAGCTGACGATGGCCAAGATGGGCACCGACGTCCACGTTTAGTCTTGATCATGGCCCTCGTCTTCTTTCCCTCCAGATGAGCACACAACGCAGTCCGGGCACCCAAGCTTCTGGCGCGCGTATGCCTGCACGAGCTGCCAGACCACCTGCGCATGCCACAGCAGCGGCGCAAACCCCGCGCGGCCCAGCGAGGTGCGGCCGTTGCGCAGGAGCGGGATCTCGTGAGTCGGGGCACCGTCGACGGAGTCTGCGTCCGTGTTGAAGAGCGCTCCCCCGAGAGCGCCCGACGCCGCCAGCAGCGCGCGCGTCAGCTCGGGCTCCTAGGCATTGACATTTGCTTGTTTGTTTCTTTGTGGAAACGTGTCCTGGACGTCAGACCCTCCCCAAGGACCACAAGCACCATCTTCTCGTACAGCTGAATTGTTTTCTGACAGCCCCTGGGCTCGTGGAGGGTCCAGAAGGCTGCGAGCGGCAAACAAAAACTCAGGACCCAAACATCCGACGAGATTATGTTTGAAATGCGCGGCCCTGAGGAGATCCCGACTCTGTCCCCGGGCGTAGTTTGGCGCCATGGGTCAATTTGTGATGGCTCCGGGCCCGATAACATGCACCAGGGGCCGAAATTGAAAAAACGCCCGGAGTGAACAAAACATCTCATCAGACATCTGGGGATCCGTTTCCCTCAGGACCCGCTTGCCTTATGGGGAATGCTCCGCCAGTACCTGGACTGATCGCTGGATGCGTTCTGACTCGGATTCCGTGGCGGATCCAGCAGGGGCGGCGATAGAGGTCTAGATGGGGTCTGGATAGATGGGGTCGGAGGATCACGCCGCATCGCCGATGCATCGCCGATGCATCGGCGATGTATCGGGGATACATCGGCGACGTCGGCGGTGGATCGGCGAAGCGAACGCGGAGAACAAGGGGCCCCACATCGAGATACATCGGCGATGCAGGCGGTGCGGCGCGATCCTCGGACCCCGACTCCTCGGACCCCGACTGCTCGGACACCATTTGAGAGGCCTCGAGGCGAGACGCCCCCACCCCCCCCTGGAGGGGCAGTACGCGCATAAAACTACCAAGCACCTCGGAACTCGAGCCTCGAAGCTCGAGCCTCGTCAGGAAACCTGCTCATTGCGGATCCGCATCGCTCCTCGCCTTCTGCTGCACGGCGAAGGCTCCGCCAGTGCCTGGACTGATCGCTGGTTGCGTTCTGGCCAGGCACTCGTGGCGGATCCAGCAGTGGCGGCGAGGATCCGCCCAGGCGGCGCGAAAGCGGCGACGACCTGCCCAACTATTGAGGGATGGAAAAACGACCCTACCCTGGGTTACAAGTGCGTAGTCTATAAAAACCTCCTGGGAGCCCCCAGAGCCTAGAGCCGCCAGGACGCGGCACATCGCGCAGGGTTTGCCCTGTCGGCCCACAGGAGTTTCAGCGCACAGCGCCTCGTAAACCAGGGTAGGGGCGTTTTTTATGCCCTTGAAACTATCTCGAAGCTCGAACCTCTTGAGGACAACTGTGCGGATCCGCCTCGTTCCTCCCCTCGGCGGCTCGGAGAGGGGGCCCTGGGGGCTGGGGCCCTGCGGATGAGAGGGGATCCGGCGGTGGATCTACAATTGTTCGAGGCACCTCGCCCTCGGGGCCCAATCCCTCGGTACCCCGCCTTCGAACCACCGATCTCCGTGTACGGCAGGTTCGCGTCGTGTCGACTTCGGCTCTGGCTTCCGACACCGCGAGCATCGTTCAACCTGGAACGATCGGCCGTTTCCGAAACGTCAGATCGCTCAACGTCGACCGCCTCTGGGTCGCTGGCGGCGTTCAGCGTTGGCTCGCCGCCGGTCGGCGCGACCCGAGCCTACCGCACGTCTCACGGAAGGGGCTCCGCCAGCGTCCGCACCACCCACGGGCCGTCGCTGGCCCTCCGCGACTCGGAGCCCGGCGCGCCCTGCGACCGCGCGCGCGGGAGTCGCCCGCGCGCCTCCTCCCCACGCCACTCGAGCGCCGTGCCGCTGGCGCCCTCCTGGCGGGCGGGAACACACGTCCGTACGGGCTGGTCTGCGTTCGGCCGGGCATGTCCTCCTGCAGGTGGGTTCTTACAGGAGCACAAAACGTGGTCAAGACACCACGGAGGATGGTCAAACCAGCACGGCCAATCGTCACCTGACTACGCTTTCTACTACTAGCGACAGGTTCTCCTGTAGAGGGAAATGCCCGCCCTGAGGTCTGCGTCACGATGTCGCGGGCGTTGGCTTCTGACGCCGCGTGGACCGTTCAGCCTGGAACGATCGCGGCTCTCCGACAGCGCGGATCGCTCGTCATCGGCCGAGGCTGGGCCGGCGCTCGCGCTGGAGTCGCCGCCGCGTCCACGCGGCGCAAGCCCACCGTACTTAGGCACGGCCTCGCGGGCGGGGCCCTTGGGTCGATGAAGAAGCAGTGGCACAGACATGATGGAACTTCTGGAGGTCTGACCCCCATCCTGGCGCGCGGAGCGACGCCAGGGGGCTCCAGGGGGCTCCAGCGCCTATCCAAGACAGTCGCGCGGATCTCCCAACATTTCTGTTTGTGTCCTTCTTTGTTCCTCGACCTGGACCGCGAACCCATGGATACGGGTCGCTTTTCAGCTCACGCCCCGCGCGGAACGTGTCCATGCGACCGCGAATCCACGGGATCGCGCCCCAGAGTCCAGACCTCGAGGTTTGGATATGGATATGTTCGTCGCTGGTGACCTCCCCCAGCGGCGCGGCCCGCAGCAAGACCGGCCTGTGCAGTGCTGGGCAGCATCGGATCGGAAAAAGTTCAGCATCGACTCGGCAACTGCGTCGGATCGGGCCGCGCCAGCACGGAGCCATGACCGGATCTGATCAGCTGCGCCAGGATGTACAACGGCGTCGCGCGAACATCGGGCCGCATGGGATCGTCGGGATACCAAGATCCGAATGGATCGGGCCGACCAAAACCGATATCGGCGGATCGACACGGGCCCTTCGCTCGAGGCTTTCTTTCGGCTTACAACTCGGGTCTCTGGCGGCCGTTCGGGACGATCTGGGCACCCCTGGAACGCCCTTGGCGAGGCGCAGCTGCTGGAACGCATCCCGAAGCTCGAACACCTCCAGCAACGATCAGAACGCCAGAAATCGATCCCCGATCCCCGATCCTCGATGTTCGATCCTCGAACCTCGAAGCTCAGAGCTCAACGCTCGATCCTCGATCCTCGACGCTCGAACTCTCGATCCTCGACGTTCGAACCCTCGATCTTCGAACCTCGAACCTCGAAGCTCCATCCTCGACTCTCGATCCGATCTACAAACATTATATGCAATTGTTCGTAGATCCGACGACGCCAACGAATTCCGGGGTGAATTAATTCTGCAGTCGATCCCCCCTGGTGAAGGCATACCATTACTTGCGGAATACAGAGTCTGGAATGCGCTGGGACTCCAATCGAGACTTGCTTCCGCCCTCATCAGATAAGGACCCTCCAGGGTCTGAAGCCTCCCAGGCACACTCCGTACCCAACGTCCCCACCGTACAGCTGGACCGAGGACACAAGAACATCCTTCAAGAACATGCGACCCTCCGCCGGCCAACGCACACACAGAGAACAGTCGAGGGGTCACCTTCCCCTGGGTTACCCGCCCCCTGGGTGCACAAGAACGTCCCACAATCACGGAGAACAGTAGGAAGCGCCCTCCCCGCGTCGGCCTCCACCTCTCCGACACTCGGCCCCCCCGTGCCCGCACCCTCGGCCCTCTCGGCCCCCCGAGCCTGGACGGCCCCCGGCCTCCCACCGTGCCCGCGCCCTCGGCCCCCTCGGCCCCAGCTCCAGCCCCAGCTCCAGCCTGGACCCCTCGACCCCGACCCTCGGCCCTCGGCCCTCGGCCCAGCTCCAGCTCCAGCCTCGACCCCTCGACCCCGACCCAGCCCCAGCCTGGACCCTCGGCCCCCTTTGACCCCCCAAAAGCCTGGACGGCCCCAGCTCCAGCCGCGGCGGCAGGGCCCCCGCCGCGGCGGGCGGCGCGGGCTGCGCGCGGGCCCGGGCCGCGCACGCCGCCGCCCACGCCGCGGCTCCGAGGGCGGCGGCGCACCGCCTGGGCGACGAGCACCGGGCGGGCGCCGCCGAACCGTGCCGGCACTCCCCCCCAGGGGCCCACACGTGCTCTTCTACGGGACGTGA